TACATAACCACAATTTGTTATTCTAAAGATAATCGAGTTTATTTAAACACTATAAATGAGAAGGACTTCTCTCTTCTCCCTAATCCCCGGGTCTGAATGCAGACACAGTAGATAGCAGTGCAGCAGGTCTCTTTGCCTGTCTATTCCAACCATTAGCCCTGCGGTAATCTGGAGGATTTTAAAAGTATGGCGAACACAGCAGCACGGATAGGCGATATGCCTGAATGGTAACGAACTCAACTTATTAAAGACAAGGGCCCAATCCCAATTCTACCCCTTAGCCCTTCCCCGTACAATAGCCCTCATTTTGCGCGTTCCTGTGAAGCGGTAGGGATGTTCCAATTCTCTTTAGCTTGAAGGCGTAGGGTTAAAGGGAAGGGGTGAATAGCCCTTCAAACAAAGATTTTTTAGGACCACGCTTTCCCATAATAAATTTCCCATAATACACCAGCCACAACAGCAGGATTGCAGCAAATATATATATAATATAATATATGAATATATGAATATATTCATAAACGCGTTCTTGTTTTACTGTCCTACTTAAAAAAAAATGCTAAAATAAAAACCGCTAAGATTCGCTTTCTATAATCCATAATAATAACTCCTGTATAGCTGTTCCACAACATTCTGACTCTCGATGACACTGGAATACGCTGTCAGTAATATCTTGTGGCTGGGAATGAACTTTTTACAGTGTCTGCTATAATGTTATTGTTGTTTTTTTTGGTGTGTTACGTGGATGATTATGGCCACTGTGCAAATATACAATACAGTTACGATCTTATTGCCACATTAGATTGTTATGATAACACAATATAAGCCTTCAGTGATGTCCTGATGATAAATAGCAAAATATTAGCACAACTGGAAAAACTACAGCAGTCATGATTATCTGATCTCATATGAAGAAGGAGATTGCGATGACCTATGATGACGTGTGCAGGTGCTGTCTCACTTCTTAGACGGTAAATTTTAAAGTCCTTCCCCTTCACCTTTGGTTTTAGGGGAAGGGATAGAGGTACAAAAATAGAATTGGGATTGGGCCAAAGTCCGCCATTCTCCAATTCTCGTACAGCTCTCCCAACAAAAATGCTTGCTGCACTTTGCTTTGCTTTATCAGCCCTGACAGATTCGTGGGGAAAAACTTGAAACAAAACCTGTTGATCATGGAAACAAACATGATACGACCCGTGTCATGTGCGGACACAGTCTCACCCATGGGTCTCACAACTTGGCTTGTCTGCTATGCCTTTGAAAAGCAAGTGCTCTCATGAATAATTAAGAAGCAGGGTCTTCTCATAGGACAAGAAAACTCTGCCATAAATTATAATGAGAAAGCGACGCATCATCACTCCGCTAGCACATCGGGACTATGTCACAGATTTTGATCCTGCCCCCCAAAACATTTTAAACTCTAAAGATGAAAACAGCTGACAAAAGTTCAAAATTTACCAGTTTTCTCCACAATTAAAGCTGATAGGTGCTAATTTTGTCTTAACTGATGCTCAACACACATAAATCTGGTAAAAATACTCCAGGATGTCTTGAACCTTTTAATGACAATTTTTATATAGCAAAATTTCTTTATGATTTTTTCTACTTAGTGTGTGATCATTTTTATTTAATTAAATTTTACTGTGTGTGATTGGTGAAGTTACCCCATAAACATAGCCCTGGGTTTATTGGGAAGATGTTTATAAATCTAGAGTCCATGTTTATAAAATCTAATACTCTGAATATATTGACAGGTGTTTTGTTTATTAAATGTATGCAGTCTAGACAGAATAGAAAGGCTATGCTTTATCTAAAGTTCAGATAAGATATGATTATTTACATAATTTAAAACAGCCTTGTCAGTTTTTGTGTTGTCCAGAGATCTTGTTCTCATCACATCTTGAACAGTTCAGATGGAGGGTTGTAAGTGATAAGGGAATTTTGTATTATGGGGATTAATTTATAGGTTTGTCGACTTGAATAGTTGAGTGGCTCCAGCTGTGTAAAATTTGGCACTTCCAGTTGATATTTATCAAATAGCTGCAGGTAGCCCAAAATTGCTTGAATTATGCCAGAATTTGAGCTATTCAGAGCACATTAATATTCTGCCCTTACAAAAATGCTGCAGGCAGACATTTCCTTTATCAGCCCAAACGGCTTATGGAAAGTTTTTGTGCTAAAATATATAGGAAACAATTGGTTTAATCTTTATACACTCACCATACAACATAACTATTAGGGGTGTCACGATCCTCCAAATCCTCGATTCGATTACATTTTCGATTCTAAAGTCACGATTCGATTCGATTTTTAATTATGAATAATTAATTAATTAATTAATTAATAACAAATTAATTATTTGTTGCCTACCATTTAAACTACCTGACTTGCATGGTCTTTGTTTTACCCATAAACAAATCATACAGTAAATGAATAAAGGTAAGTTACACACATAATTACCACCTGTCAATCACTTTTTTCTGCGGGACTCGTGAATAGGCAGTTATCTGTGTCGTTATAATGGCGTCGGTAAAAAAGGTGCACAACCAACAGGAACCAGCCAACCAGGTGTGCGCTAAAATGACTAAGTACTTGTGTGAAAGTAAAAGATGAAAGCAGTCTACTGACCCGCTGACTGCCTTGACTCGCTGTCTCGAGCGCATGACAATGTGTGTGCGTCTGTGTGTGAATGAGTGTGTGTGGTCACGTGATGTGCGTTTTCAGCGGTAGTGAGGAAGGAGGGCTGCTCAGAAACGCTACACGCCAGTGTGGATGTGGATCGTTGTTGTTCTTAAATGCCATTTAAAAACAAAGACATATTAGTGTAAACAGGGCCTGAGTGTGTATTTTTCGCGAGCGGTTTTGCAACGGGTGCGGGGCGGAGGATCGTGATGCGCCCATCGTCTATCATCCCAACCGTAATACGTACATAGCAGAGCTTGCAAACTGTGTTTTTTTTTTGTCGACAACACGAACGTTGTCAACATAACTAACTGGAAATCCAAAATACTTCCACACTGGCGACTTCATTGAAAGAGGAGAGGATTTAAGCTAAGTCGACGGGTCTCCTGCGTCTGCAGTTTAACAAGCACTTCAACAAGCCTGTTTTTTTCCCGCTTGGCAAGCCAAGCTAACGTGACATGGGGGCGTGGAAGCATTGACGATTCTATTTTTTGATTCGATAATCGAAGTTAAGCATAAATTTCGATCGATTTCGATTTCGATTAAAAATCGAAATCGTGACACCCTTAATAACTATACCGAGATGGACCCCCTTTTGCCTTCAGAACTGCCTTTTTCTTTTGTGGCATAGATGTAACAAGATACTGGAAAAATCCTCAGAGATTTTAGTCCATATTGACATGATAACATCATGCAGCTGCTGCAGATGTGTCGGCTGCACATCCATGATGCAAATCTCCCTTTCCACCACATCCCAAAGGTGCTCTATTGGATTGAGGTCTGGTGACTGTGGAGGCCAGTTGAGTAGTACAGTGAACTCATTGTCAAGTTCAAGAAACCAGTCTGAGATCCTTCACACTTTATGACATGGTGCATTATCCTGCTTGAAGTAGCCATCAGAAGGTGTGTACACTGTGGTGATAAAGGGATGTACATGGTCAGCAACAATACTCAGGTAGGATGTGGTGTTGACACAGTACTCAATTGGTACTAATGGGCCCAAAGTGTGTCAAGAAAATATCCCCCACTATTACACCACCACCACCTGCCTGAACCATTGATACAAGGCAGAATGGATCTATGCTTTAATGTTGTTGGTGCCAAATTCTGACTCTACCATTCGAATGTTGCTGCAGAAATCGAGACTCATCAGACCAGACATAATTTTTCCAATCTTCTCTTGTCCAATTTTGGTGAGCCTGTGTAAATTGTAGCCTCAGTTGACTGTTCTTAGCTGACAGGAGTGGCACCCGGTGTGGTCTTTTGCTGCTGCAGCCCATCCGCCTCAAGGTTGGAATTGTTATGCATTCAAAGATGCTCTTCTGTATACCTCGGTTGTAAAGAGTGATTATTTGAGTTACTGTTGCCTTTCTATCAGCTCGAACCAGTCTGGCCATTATCCTCTGACCTCTGGCATCAACAAGACATTTGCACCTACAGAATTGCCACTCACTGGATATTTTCTCTTTTTTTTCGGACCATTCTCTGTAAACCCTAGAGATGGCTGTGCGTGAAAGTCCCAGTAGATCAGCAGTTTCTGAAATACTAAGTCTGGCAACCAACAACCAAACCACATTCAAAGTCACTTAAATCACCTTTCTTTCCCATTCTGATGCTCTGTTCAACTGCTGCAGATCGTCTTGACCATGTCTGCATGACTAATTACTTTGATTGGCTGATTATAAATTTGTGTTAACAAGCAGTTGGACAGGTGCTCCTAGTAAAATGACCAGTGTGTGTATATACACATTCTTGCTTCACATGTAATATATCCTCCCTTTTTCCAGAATATTCTTATAATCCAGTTGTGGTGCCATGGGTAACATGGACAATATGGAGCTTCATGATCTAATGTTGAGTGTATGGTATTAATGCAAAGATTTGAAACTGAAATGCAAGTTTTGTAAACTGTCTATATTTTGTGCTTCTTAAAGGAACCCACTCACTGAATGTTCTGTTAGGTGAAATCTTCATGTTTCTGCCTCTTCATTATTCAGTGTTACGCTGTTTCATAGTGTACTATTCCTGCAGAATCACATGACTCGCTCCTGGTTTTTCTTAGACATGTTGGCCTAGTTTCGAATTCTGTTTGAATAAATGGTAATTCGAGAGTCTGCCGTATGAAAGTGCTCGTCTGCTGTGAAATCTCTCATCATGTCTCTACAGACAAGTCAGCCTTTCTGACAGATGAATTTTTATGACTTCTCCAGTTGTTATGAAGCAATTTCATTCACGTTACATATTTTGTATAGATTCTCATATTTTGGATTGTCAGGAAAATGCTAAATATTTTGTACTAAAAACATGAGAAATGCACACAATTTACAGACCAAATTCAGGTTTTAATTCATTTAAGAGCAACACATGACATCAGAGACAAAGGAAAGAAATAATTCACAAACAATAGTCAATATAAAATAGATTGTCTTAAACTAAATAATAAAACAGAACCAGCAATAATCAACCATTAATAAGTTAATAACACATTACATTACACACAATCATACAGTCTGTTTTGAGATTGTTAGCTTCACAGACAGCATTTAAAGGGCTGTACAAAACTGATTATGCACAACATATGTACGTCCAGACTTGAGTAACAAAAGGAAGATCGTGGAGGTCCACCACATCGGACATATAACATATAAGAGTGCTACTAAACCAGACAACAGTAACAAATTCATATCAAGATGATGGTCGGTAAAATGTCTCATATGTTGAACTAAAACTATAGCCGTGAAAAAGCCATTAGTAATGCTACAGTGAGAAAACTTCCTTATTTTCACTTTGTTTACACTCTTTTTCTCTCTCGGCTTCTCTTGAGTGGTTTTCGGACATGTAGCCCAGCTTAACTGACTGGTCTGTTGCTAAGCAACGGTGTTGAATTGGTGATTAGTGCATGTAGCATGAAGTGATGCAGGTCAAAACTCCCAAGTTGGTTGAGATGAGCCAGAGTGAGAATTCGTAAAGTAAATTATATAGTAATTTTCAGAGGCGCAGTTAAAGGGAGAGCTCACCCATGAAATGTCTGTCATCATTTACTCTCCCTTCACTTGTTCCAAATCTGCTTGATTTGAACACAAACAAATATTCTAAAGAATGTTGGAAAGCAGCAGCCATTGACTTCCATAGATTTTGGATGGATGTCAATGGCTGCTGTTTTCCAACATTTGTCTAAATATCTTGTGTTCAACAGAAGAAAGAAATCAATAAAAGTTTAGAATATCTTAAGTTGAGTGAATGGTGAGAAAAAGTTCATGTTTGGGTGAGGTATCCCTTTAGGGCTGGGCTAGTTTATATGTACAGTCTCTTCACAAAACTATCTAGAAACGACAGCATGTTCATTTCCCAATGTAATGCAGCTTAAATTAAATTCTTTTTCCTCTCGTGATACGTCAGTCCAAGAATTGTGATGATATTGCAGCCATATATTTAATCAAAGGAGACATTAGCATGTAATTTACAGACTAATACAGAGGAGTGCAGTCAATTATTCTCCATTTTGTGGTCAGATTCAGAGTCTTTTCAGTTCATTTTTACTTGGCCATTTATAAGCCTAAAGTCAGGATTTAGTTGTTTGTACGCATTACACAACCAATGGTTGTGGGATTTCAGCCAGAGATTAGCAGAGTGAGGTTTATGATGAGAGGAGAGTGCTCTGTGCCAATGATCCAAACAAATACATCAGAGTCACTGATATTCTGATGCAGTCTAATACCCAGCACATAGACTAATCAATAGCTTATCCGCATGATGCAAAATCAGCTCTTTATTATTACTGAGAATTAGGCATTGAGGTCAGAATTTAAGATCACTGCTCACTGTTTTCTCACTTATGCAACGTTGATCAGTTCTGGTGGACAGCAGTGTCCCTAGTAATCCCTCATGACCTTCCAAGCCCATCTCTAAAATTACTTCAGCGAAAGATCTTGCTTTCTAAAAAAAAAAAAAAAAAAACCTGGAACATCTGGAAGGTTTTTTTTTTTTTGTAGCAATACCTACTTCCTATACTGAGAAATGGCCCGGCCACTGCTGGGCTTCTCCTCATCAGCTGAGATTTATCACCCATTCTCTAGGGGCATAAAGAGCTACAATAAAGAAAGAGAGAGAGAGGGAGAAAGAGAGAGAGAATGAAAGAGTGTGTCAGCATGTCCAATACATCTGGATTGTACAAATGTGATTGGATGCTTCATCTAGCAGACTTATAACACTGTCTGCCATTTTCAGGAGGACATCAAATCTTGTTTTGGCTCCTCCCCTCCTTCATGCCTGCATGACATCTAACAAATTGCTTCATCCCAGTTTAGTGCCAGAGATTTCATCAAGAACTCTTCTCTTTCAATACAGAATTTTGCTTTGCAACTATCGCCAACCTGAAAACAGCCATCGACTCGCTTTCCAATCACATCCACATTCCCTAAAGTGCGTACTGTGAAACAGAAACACATCCTCTTCCATTATTAAATATTAAATTACGTTCACAACTCAACCCACATTCCCACTTATTCCCACTAACAAATAAGACTACGCACAAAAATGTCCAACAGTGTCCAATACACACTGCATGTCCTCCTTTAGTTTGATTGATTGATTGACAGTTCATATGAAGCCATATGCTGGTAAAGGGAAACCAATCAATACGTTAGCGATAGGATGTGTAACCTTAAACAATGGCGGCAGCTCTCTGTCGTAGGGATGAGTGTGTTTGCAGGTGGGGTGTTTCAGAATGGAAGAAGAACAACATAAGTGTAGAGAGAGGGAGGGGTCATGAAAGGTCATGACCTCCCCACCTCTCGACCCCGCCCCAACCAACCCTCTCGAAGAGCGGAAACGCATTTTAATAGAGTTAGAGCGGCGCATGTGGGGCTCACATGATGGTACAGCTCTTGGTTCTCTCCTTGCTGAAGGAGGAGGTCAGGAGCTCAGCCTTGCTGGGCAGATGGAGGAGGCGTTTGGAGAGCCGGCGAGTGGGGCTTTGCTTTATGGGCGGCTGCAGTTTGTTTAGGCACGTGAGCGATGCTGAGCGAAACACACTGTGGATGCTTTTCTCCGATGTGAACGCAGAGCACTCCAGGTACACTTCTGCTCCTACCTGCTTCGCCAACAGGGTGCCCTGTAAGGAAATAGGAGTGTGAAATGCAGAAAAAAAGAGATGAGAAGTCTAGTTTGCAAAGGGGGAGGTGTGTGAGCGACTGACCTGCTCATGGGAGATGGGTGTCAGTCTCTGATTGGACAGCTCCATCAGTGTGCAAACATCTGTACGCAGGTCCGTCTTGCAGCCCACAAGGATTATTCGAGTGCTGGGACAGAAATCCATGATTTCTGCTTTCCACTGCAATGAGAGAGCTGTTAATGTAGTGGTCAAACCATTTTCTTCTTGTTACTACTTGAAGCAACACAATGTCGTGTAGTTTACTCAAAACTGAAAACTGTATACTTTCAGAAATGTTGTTTTTGTCTTTATACAATAAAAGTCACTTTAAATATGCACTGATGTATCATTAGCAGGTATTTATCTGAATATTTGGTGGATTTAAATCTATACCCAAATTGAGAAAGGCAGATATGACTATATAGATTAGTAATTAACAGCTGTATGTAAGGTATAATGCAATTTTTTTTCTCTAGATAAAATAATTAAAGCATCCCTATTTTAAAAAAGTTTATAATTTGGTCGTGGGATCCCCCAGCATCAGGTTTACAAGATCAAAAAACACATCCATTGTTTTATAATATGCATTAATTTTTACAACACTTGTACAATGACTACCAAACGAGTCGCTCAATGAAACAAGCTTGCTTTTGTCGAGTGGTTGGTCAACCTGTTAATGTTTTATGTTGATTTCAACATGAAATTACTTGGCATTCATTTTAAAACCATCTCATGAAAATAACTTGAAGTCTTTCTTTCGAGAGACAACAATTGGGCACTTTCAGATTTAAAATTTTGGAGGATGTTTTCATTCACTTAGAGCTGTGGTACACATGATGATTTATCACATTAGAGGCAGTTTATTTAGGGACAAAATTGTATCTATATATAATATAACTTGTCAATAATAATAATAATAATAATAATAATGCATGTTCAATGGATTCCATCTATGTTTAATAAAAAATGTCAGACTAATATCTGTTTTAATAACTTTCAAAGAACATTTAATAAGATTTTTAGCTAAAACTTAGTCCTTGGTGATTCAAAAAATGAATATAAACAAATGTATTGCTTTCATAAAAAAACACTAAATAAATGCCTATATTAATATTTTTGACAATACATTGAGTTTTTATTTACCAAATAATAAAACCTCAATATATCATTAGAATCAGTGTCTATTAGTTTTGTTTTTGCCTGTGTATGTTTTATTTGGACTCTCAAAATACTCGTAGATATTGACTTATATTTAAAGAACCACCAAAAACTATATTTCAACTGAAATGTTTCTTTAATGCTCTAGTGAAAAAAAGGTCAGCTACAATTTGAGTGAAATGCAGTTTTTTTTTTACACTTTTTTTAATGTGGACATTCTCTTTAACTGAGTATTCAGAATTCGTAAAATGAACTTCACCTTTTTCAGAGAGCTTTCGACAGTGTCAGGCCGACTTATATCGAAGCAGAGCAGCACAGCATCCGCATCGCTGTAGCAGAGAGGCCTGACATTATCATAATACGGTGAACCTGCAGAAGCAAACACATGACAAACATCAATAATGCAAACTTAACATCAAATAACATGATCATACTTTTGAGCCATAACTCAATATGGAATACAAAGTGTTATGGGGGATTGCAAATATCGTAAATGGCAAAATATATGGCGGTTCTCCTAATAGGTGTGCATGTGTGTGGGCGAATCTCGGAGATTCCTTTATTGACAGAATGAGTTGCCGAGGAGGTCTTGTCCCCCACACACTGCAAACCTCATCTCAATCCGTAACTACAGCAACGGCATTGAAGGATGTGCACATAAACACTCATACTATGGCTCTGTGTGGACGAAAAATAAAGCAAGTCCATTAAAGGCACATTTCACCCAATAGTCATGTGTTTGTGCCTATTAGAGTATCGATCCTCAGCTCAGATGCTGGGTGTTGTGTTGTGTGAGCCTCTCATGGGTCACGTATTACTGCTGTATATGTAGACAGTGACTCAGTTTGCTAGTTTAGATGGGGAATATATGGCAGAATGAAAAGAGAGATGTGACAAGACAAAACAATGAAGAGGCGGGCAATCCGCATATCACTGTCTGTTCACTTCGCTAGACAATACAGATCTCAATACTCAAGCCATAATTTTGATTGCTAATTAAGTGTCTTTATGTCTGTGTGGGTAATATAGTTAGCTTGCAAACTATTTGTATTTTATTTTATTGGAAAATACATCATGCATTTAAATGATCATTAGGTTAACATGCTTTTATTATTGCTAAACAATAATCACTCATGTGAAATATAAATAAGATAAATAAGTGAATTAATAAGGCAATATCGGTACCTAATCACTTTGATGTTGTCATTCAATGGGTGACACTGGTGTAACAGAAATTGCATTACAATGAATGACAAAACAAATTTATTGCAGACTTTAAGTTGGACTCCTATAATAAACTATATTTGTGTATTAGAATAATTGTAAATTTATAAAATAATATGAAAGTATGTAAATTTATATTCATATTATTTTTGCCTCTCACTTAAGGACGTACATATGTTGCCTGTTTATTTTAGTACAATAGAAAAAAAATAAAAATAAGTCTTTTAGCATCAAAACATTTTTTTATGTATTTTATGCTTGTGTTTTAAGATCCATGTGTGGACTATTATACTGAACTATGCATATGTACATTTCATTTGGTACATTTTCACATCATTAACATAAACCAGATTTTATTCCAAAATACTTTTTGCATCACATTTTGCCATATGGGTGTAATAAAAATAGGAATGCACCAAATTGTTATTATTATTATTATTATTATTATTATTATTATATATTTTATTTTTCAGCAGGCATTTTAAATTTTTGGCTGAAAATATAAGGCTTCCAGACTTAGGGCATACTGACACATACTGAAGTGCGATTTTTTATTTTTTTTATTTTTTTTTTTCCTCCTCCCTTTCCCCCCAGACGGCCTGCACTCACACTGAATTTTGCCTTCCGAACCTGAGCATGCTTACGTCATCGATATTGCGACTGTTCTGTTTAACACTAAGAGAATCGCTCTTGCTCAGCACAGTGGACATTGCTTTAGTTGTATAGTTTTAGTCGTTTGGGATGCAGTGACACATATATCAAATATTTTGCTGAATAGATCAACAACTTTTGACGCTCATAAATTACCATAAGCTTCCTCGTACTGCAGGTATTAGGAGGTTTGCTAAAGGTGCAGCTAACGTGCATTGAGGGGTTTGCATTTTTAATAAACTATGACAGATTGTGTTCATTGAAATGTAAGAATGATTAATAAATTCATATGAAACAGTCCCTTAAAAGTGACGTCCCTTCAGTTCACTACAAGCTTACCACGCCAAGCCCAACCGAACTGTGCTCTAGCACACCTCTTTTAACCGGGCCAGGACCAGCCAACTGAACCAGAGCACTCACACTTGTCCAACGAACCAGGAATTGTGCCTGGGCACGGTTCGGATACCATAGTGTGAGTGTACCCAAAGCTTGCTTGTGTGCTGCAGTCAAAGTTCAAAATAGCTCAATATTTGGTTCACTATTAATACAATTATGTTATTTCATTGGCTTGTGAGTTTTCTTTTAATTAGTATAGTTTAAGTTACTAAGCTTTGAACTTAAAAACTCCTACAAAATTACATTTAAGTTATTTAAAAAAATAATAAAAGCTTTCTATTTTTAGCCAAGTGCATCCACAATTTTATAGTTTTAGTTTTACCACTGAATTATTCTTTCAGTACTTCGGTAGAAAATATAAATATAAATGCAAATAATCATCATTACTTTTTTATTTTTTAAAAACAAGTGTATTTAAATCATATCACGGCAACACTAGTTCACAACTCATGCTATTAACTACTGGCTTATTATCTGACTATTATTAAGATATTAACTGTTCAAAGATATAAAGTTAGAGCTTATTCTGCATCCTTAATCTTACCCTAAACCTAAACCCAACTTCTACCTCATAAACTATTAATAACAGGTAATTAGAAGTTTATTAAGCTAGTAGTGTTAGTTAAGGGTTTGTATATTCCATGAATTATGACCTAAACTGAAGTGTTACAGCCGATTTGAATGTTATCACTTGATTGAATGGCTGTTATCAGTGGTTATCAGCTAATAGATATGGGCTAGTACAGGCCTTCTGCACCTACTGGTAGACTCAGAAGGCTGCTTTCATCCATCCACATGGTTAATCATCTGTGAATTACATATGGCTGTGGCCGCAAGTTAGCGAGAATTATTTATATTATTTGTTAATAATATATTATTTATTTCCCAATAATTGTACTTTATTCTTGTCTACCCCTTCCCCAACCCTAAACCCAACCATCACAGTAATGTAAAAACAGATCTGGATCTGGAGTTTGTCTCTATTAGTACAGCTAATTAACCATATGGATTGATGATAACAGCCTTCTGAGCCTACCAGTAGGCGCAGAAAGCCCCTACTGGCCCATATCTATAAGCTAATAACCAGTGATATTGCCTTTTTAATGGAGTGATAACATTCGAACCGGGTGTTTGTTACCGAACATTATTACAATGAATTAAAATTATGCATCGATTTAAAACTAATTAGGTGTGTCATGCATCTACTTAGATGTCAAACTCAGTAGTAAGACCAATCTCTGGATCTGTTGTGCTAGAAGGTAACTGCTCTTGACACCTGACTTCAGCTAATGTTGTCCAATCAGATGATAAATACAGTATATTCCTCTTGAATCAGATGTGCTAGGGTAAGAGCTAGAGGAGAGGCATAAAGGAGATCCTGTCAAAGACTGAGTTGCTCATCTCCTCTTTGATCTGGAGAGTGTGTGAAGAGATGCCTGAAGCAGCCAGAGCCAGATGAGCAAATTCAATTAAAGCTGCTGTAATTAGTCCTGATTAGACTGTGTTTGTTCATGTATGCTGATGAGTATTTGTGCGGGGCTGCATCATTTACTCTGCCAGTGTTTCTCCTGTGCGTTGCCTTCTTACCTAGCTGTACACAATTAACAGAGACTAACTGGTCTTACTGGTCTTTTAGACGAGATGCTATTTCATGTACTTGTCCATTTTGAGATTTTGGGATTTTTTGGCATTTAATAACATCCAAAATGAACTTAAAGGAAAACTATGTTTTTTTTTTTCTTCAAATTTTTTGGCTCATTTTACAAGTCACTTAGAGTTGATAGTACAATTTTATCAGTTGTGAATCCATTTAGTGGAGTCTGGCATAGGTTCTTTAACTTAGCTTAGCCTAAATCATTGAATCAGATTAGACCATTAGCATCTTGCCTGAAAATGTAAAAAAAAATAGTTTTGATAATTTTTCGTTTCATTTTTATGAAGACCCACAGAAAATAGCAATAGGAAAATTATCAAAACTCACTTTCGAATTTTATTGAGTGAGATGCTAATGGTCAATCAATGATTTATGCTAAATGTGCTCTTGCCAGAGATCGAATGAATCGATTTAAAAAAATAGTAAAACTGTTTAAGTCTAGCTTAGTTGTAAATTGTCCTTTTAAGTGTTTCTTTTGTTGCCCTTTAATTTTTTGACTGTAGATTTAAATTAAATTAAATTAAATATTTAAGGACATTTTTACAAACTTATTCTGCACTGAGCTTTTAATCTTTATTTCAGCGGGACTTTCATACACCAAACTGCACAGTTTTATTCATATATATATAAAAATTTTCCTATTTATTAACAACATTTTATACTAGAAACTTTCTGGACAATTCTCAGATATATGGTTAGGTAAGGCAAAGTTTTTAAGCCTGTGTTCATCCATTGTTCAGATTTTTGAACTAGTAATGTATGTAAATGAATACATTTAATTAGAGACACTATACTATAATTTGCATATTTAAATATGACATTTTAGAACACTTGTCACCCCAACATTTTTTCAAGTCTTAAGACATAGTTCACCCAAAAATGGAAATGTACTCACTATTTTTCGAACCTTTTTGAGTTTCTATATTCTCTTTTGCACAAAACAAGATATTTTGAAGACAGCTAAAAAACAACCATTGACATTCATAACAGGAAAAACAATTCAATATTTCTTCAGAAAAAAAATTAAAAAATAAAAAAATAAAAAAATAAATATATATATATATATATATATATATATATATATATATATATATATATATATATATATATACATACATATAAAATCACTGTATTTTTTATATTTTTTCTTCATGCGAAAGTTGTATTTGTTTTATTGTAGAAATTCTACATTTAAAAATATATTTTAAGATCAAAATGATTAGCCCCGTTAAGCTATATTTTTTCGAATATCTATGGGACAAACCTTCATTATACAATTACCATAACTTGCATAATCAACCCAATTAACCTAGTTAAGCCTTTAAATGTCACTTTAAGTGTCTAGAAAATAAATTATTTTGTAAAATATTATTTATTGTCATAATGGCAAAGATAAAAGAAATCAGTTATTAGAAAGGAGTTATTAAAACTATTATGTTTATTTTAACAAATGTGTTGACATAAATCTTATTTTAATTAAACAGAAATTGGGGATAAAAAATAGAGGTGGTTTAAACAGAAGAAAGTGAAACAGGTTTGGAACAAGTGAAGCTTGAGTAAATGGTAGCAGAATGTTCAATTTTAGGTGAACTCTGCCTTGAACTGTGAACTGTGTAATTAATCAGCCAGGCAGATACGGAAATAACTTCTTTTTTTACCCTATTCACCTAGTTTTCCTTTAACAAGGGAACAGATGTTGAGCAGCTCTTTGCTCGAGTTAGATAAAATGTATTTTCCCCCTCCAGCAAGCCTTTTCACTATTGAGCTGAGTTGCTGCAGGTCAGTGTGACTGGTAAATTCCAACATGTTTTCCACATTCCATGATAAGACAGGAAATACCTTAAGACAGGAAGTCCTGTTGCTTTGCAGTTCATTCACAACCAGTTAAGTGTTTATTAGTAGTTTAGTATAAGTAGTTGTAATACTTGTTGTTATAATAATAATAATCAACATAATAATAGCACTAATATGAATTATACTATTATTAACTATTAATATTCAGAATTTTATTAAGCAAACTATCTCATAATCTTTTTTAAGGAAATGAAAATCTGATTATTCATTGCATAATTATATATATTGTGTCAAATATATTTGTTGTTAGGTAGATTAAAAGGCTTAATTACATCAAAAAAGTAAATAAATAAAAAATCCAATATCCAGGCACTCATTTAAGCAGTCAGCCATGACAACTAACAGATTCACATTCATCAGGCATCACTGAGTGATATGTTACACAACTTGCTACGCAACATGACCCTAAAAAACCCAGCTTTTAGACTTCACGGATATAAAAATATTACACTACAGCAAAGCTTAATCTGAGTTAAAATATCACTTATTAACAATGGCATTTGAGGAGAGCATGATGCACTTTATAAAAATAAACTACATTCAAAACAAAATCTAGTTTCTGTAAATGTAATGATACAGAATGACTGTGTCAAAAAATGGTTCACCTTAAATCACTTATTATTCCTCTGGGTTGTTTTGAACCTCTTTCATTTGAGTTTTCAACTGTTTTCTCTGTAATTTCTTTTAGAATAACATTTGTTTTTTTGCAGAAGAATGAAACATAAAAAATGAGTTTTCATTTTAAGGTGAACTGTTCATTTGAAAGAAAAGTTATTTTATGAATGTTGCAAACATGGAAACGTACATTGTTTTTTTTCTACGGAGGTCAGTGGCTATCAGTTTTAACTCTTTAATATATCGTAATTTGTGCTAAAAAAAAACTCAAGAAAACTCAGAGTTTGGTACCACTTGAGGTTAAATAAATGGTTAGTAAATTAAACGATCCTTATCAGAGACTTTTTCCAACTTAAAACTTCATGAATCGAGAAATGAAATAAAGAAATTAGACTATCAGAAGAACATTCCTTGTCTTTTTAGATAAGAATGAAAATGCTTCAGCTATCAGCCACAGCTTTCCGCATCCTAATCTTAACACTATCCTCCTAATCAGCTACACTTGTAAACACACAGACTAAACAATCCCTGATCAAATGCCTCTGTGGAAACTAATAGACAAAACCAAATTAACAGACAAAACCAAATTCACTGAAACAAGCAGTGATTGTGCTAATCTATCAGAAACTGCAATCTACGTCATCAAGAAGGGCTTTGCATGTCACTAAGAAACATTCCAAAGCACAGCAAAACCTTGTGCTGTCCTACACGAGCCTGATTATTCGACTCATCCAGAGGCAGACAGAAGGTGCAGGTGGCACATGGCCAGTGTCTGGCGCTTGAGGTTTGGTCTCAGGTGTTGCATCTGTCAGAGTCTTTCACCCACTTACTGCAGCTTCACATATGCCAGCTTCATTGCCTGACTCAGGTGTCTCTTCTGCAACATCTCACTGACCTACTGGCCCAATAACAGTCAACACAACTGCACACAAGCACATCCATGCCATTGGATTGCATTCTAGACAAATATTATTAAAAAACAAAGCATATCTGTTTTATTTATAGTATGTCATCTTTATTATAAACAAGCACCGGTGGTGGTGTGGAGAGACCCCCCTCATGATTGTGAAGCGCTTTGGGTGTATGGCCATACACATTAAATGCGCTATATAAATACACATTACATTACATTACATTACAAGCATCTTGATTTATAATCATTAACAGATGGAATAATGACCTGTACATTAGGGCGTACAACTTCTTTTCAGCAGGTTTCAGATGTATTTTTCTTATTTGTTTTTTAAATCGTGCCTTACAGTAAGTTTCCACTAATTTATTTACTAACATGAACTAATAATGATGAATACCTGCATTTATTAACTGCTTTATTAAAATCCAAAGTTGTGCTTTCTAACATTTCACTTTTAACAATTTCCTGTGATATTTACAGTAACATACTGGCAGCAGCTTGTCGGTAACACTGTAAATCAATTACAAATACTGTATTTTAGTACTCAAGTTACTGAAAAAATACTGTATTTACATTTACAGCACATTTACATTTATCTTGCAGCATATGCATTTACAGAATTGTATGTATATCTTTACTGTGAAATACACAGTAATTTTCACAATGTAGCTTTAAAATACAGTAACAAACCGCATAACTGTCCTACAGTAAAATACAGTTCATATTAGTTAAATATTGTGTAACTTACAAATATCGTCAACAGTGTAGTTATTCCACTGTCAATTGACAATAACTAACAATTGATGACTATTTTCATTACTAATGTTAATAAAGATGAATAAATAGTGTACTAAATGTATTGTTAATGGCTTGTATAGTGACTAACATTAACTAATGGAACCTTATTGTAAAGTGATAAGTCATAAAACTCAACATCAACAAAAGAGGTTTGATTGATAAAACCCAATTTTGGGTCAAATATGGAAATGCTTTTTTATTATAATATTTGTAACCCATTTTTTTTAAAGTACAGAACCACAACATAATTCGAAGCAAAGAAGTTTGTATAAAACAATTAGCAAAAATACAATTAACTGGTATCAACTATCTTTATTTTCAGTGAGAAGAGGAAACAATCCCCTAACAAATTACTAATGACATAATTTAATTAATTTAGTTATTTGGTTGTATATAGGGGCATTTGCAAAACATGCATACAACATATACACAAGTTAAAGTATAGAGAGTAGGGAGATTAAATTGACTGCCATTCGCAGTTCTTAGTGGTAGTGGGTGGAGCCACAGATCTCTTTTGAGATGCTTTTTATGCTGGTTTCTTGGTGAAATTTTGAATAGATCACAATGGATACTTCAGTTATTTTCTGCACAAATGTTTACTATTAAAAAACAATTAAAAAAACAGGTGAAAAAAGGCAAACTAAAGAGAAGCATGTTAACCCTAGTGTCTCATAACAACAGGTCTATTTTTAGATAATGTTTAATTCTGTTACAGTGATAAAGAATAAAGTATAGTTGTGTGAAATGTTAAACTTTACAGGAAAAAAATTTGGTAATATTGATTGTGCTAATATTACATTTTACTAAAAACCATACCAAACTGAGATTTTTATAAGCTTGCTTACATGTTCTATAGCTGTATTATTATTTAATATAATTGTATGCTTTATCAATTTAACTGGCTTTATTTATTTAATTAAACTGGTTGCTTCAATTTCACGCATAGGCAAACTTTTATTTTAATCAAATATTTAATCTGTTTTATTCATACACTGAGAGTAAATTTAGTTCCAAACAATATTGGAAACCACAGATTGTTTTATTATAGATCAAAAACAAAAATTAAAGTAAGCCATAAAAGCGTTGAGCCAGTAAATTAACCTATGATTAATATTCAGTTTAATTTAGAAAAATATACTTTAAAAAAATAGTTCAAATGTGTTAATGAGTTTAAACGATCTGTTATGTAAAGCGGCATCCAGCTGTTGGTCAGTCAGTGTGTCTTGTCTCTCACCTGACGTGTCCCATAAACTGAGCTCCACGCGCTGCTCCTCTAATTCCAGTCCAGCTGTGTAGTTCTCAAACACTGTCGGCACGTATGTCTGAGGGGGAGAAGCCAAATAAAACCTGTCAGTTAAACAATTGTAGCCTATAAATAAGCACTTCGTTTCAGTATGTTCTCTAATGTTAGATTTGTTCCAGCGTCAACACGTGCATGACAACCAACTCGCACGAGAAAGATACAGAGTATCCAACACGTGTAATGTATGAATACAGGGATATTAAACGCAGTTCATAATGTCACAGTAGGCTATATTGTTATATATAAGCAACATCAGTATCACAAATAAACACCAACAGCTGCTCAATAAATACGTTAGAGAAATAGAGAGAGGTGTCATACGTACCTCGGGATAACAGTCTTTGGCCAAGACTTGCAACATTGCAGTTTTCCCGCACTGCACGTCTCCTACTAAAACCAGTTTACAACGCATTACCAAAGGCTGGCTGATTCTCCTCTCCTTCATTGTTAATATGACGGTCCTGTGCGCGACGGCTCTCTCGTATGACGGCCCTGGGCAGTTTGTTCAGACCGCATTGGGGTTTGGACTAAATCTCCACGAAAGAGAGAAATACGGCACTGCGGCAATTTATACAGCTCTGTTATCCAATCAGCGCCGCGCTCTGCTCTTCGGGCTCGCGCTCGAGTTCCACTGCCCCCGAAACACGCGCATCCGCCCGCCCGCCCAGCGAGAGTCTGCACATCGATTTAGCCAATATATGAACGCGCCTCTCCTATCTAGTAATGGTAAACAAACGCCTGATAAAAGAGGAGGTTAATGATGTTTGAGGCGGAAGCCGTGCAAATGGCATTTTAGATGAGAGATAGAATGAAAGTTGAGAGGTTTAAACTAAATTTAATTTCTCTTTCTAAAAGAGAATGAATAAACATCCTCAAACACTACTTATATAGCTACGTAATTGCTACTACAAAAACAAAGAGCTGTACAAATGATTCATGCATGCAGCTCTTTGATATTAATTATGCAGTTAATGTGATATTATTATGTAATGTTTGTTTGTTTGTTATAGCAGGCAGTACTATTATAAGAAAATCACTTCAACAATGTTTTTGTTAGTTTTTAGGCTGCCTTTTTTAGACGTTGAAAGAAGTTTCACTTTTAAACTACAAAATATAAATAGTAGTAAATCGCATGAATGAAATAATTAACTTTTTTTCTATTTTAGGGTGGACACAGGCTCTTTTCTCTGGGGCTTTTTTATAATTATAACAGGGAATATGCATACAGTATTTTACACTTATGCCATCTGAACTTTAATTACATTTTTATTATTTAGTCATTATTTATTGTTAGATAGGTGGAAATCAAATGCAAGCATAAATAATCACCTTTATGATGTAAACAAACAAAAATAATACTTGTAATATCTGCAGTGGTGGAAAGAGTACTGAAAAATCACACACAAGAAAAAAGAACCATTACTTGCCTAAAAATGTATACAGTGCAAGTAGAGTCAAAGTGTCTGTTGTAAATATTACTCAAAGTAAGGAGTTAAATGTAGCCATTTTAAAAGAACTCAAGAGTTGTGAGTATTGAGTATTACGATGAGAACGGCTCATGCATTCACATGCAATTTGTGGACGGATGTGTAAACTTAACATTTTGTAGTGCATTCAGTTACTGTTGAAGACTATTTAGTGATTTCAGTCATCATACAGTAAACATCTTCTTATCAGTGACATGCAGTCTCAAAAGTATCTTGACCATTGAGTGTACAGATTTAGGCATCTTATTAGACACTTTTAATGCTTCCAAAAGGTTTGTTGCATTTATAAAGTGCCAATGTCTTGCGGTTGTTTAGTATGATACAATTTATTTTCTATGTGTGATTTGATTGGACCGAATCACAGGACTGATTAATCTACCAATCTCCATAGACAAAAAATAGGTAGGACTGCAGTTTGAAGGAAATAGCATTGTTATAGCACTAAAAATGTACTCAAGGAAATGTAAAAGTACACAGTTTTAAAACTACTTAGTAAATTACAATTCCTGAGGAAAAAAAAAAAACTACTCAGTTACAGTATTTGGGGGATCTTTTGTTCAGTTGTAACTATTAACTCAAATCCATAGCTCAAGGAAAGACTTCAAAATGGGTGACGTCACTATATTCCAGAGATGCCCAAATTGAAGCCCACAGGCCAAAGTTGGCCCACGGTTTGATCTGCCATCCCATCTGAAAAGAGAGGGAGAATGTTTGTACTTGGGGCGAATGCCTTTGACAGAAATCGTCGTTCTGAATTTTAATTCAAAGTAATCTTTTGTTTCTTTTTTTGTTTTATTGCTGAGCTACAATAAAAAGGTAACTGAATTAAATGTTGTAAATGAATCAGACTTTTACAATGTACTTTTACTTGACATACAGTACATCTGACATCTACAAGCATATCAAGGTAAAGGCAGGTGCAGCTTGACTAGTGTATTTATTGAACTCCATTGTGTCATAAATTGAATTGTTTGTGTTTTTACAGTAATAAGTTCATTATAAAATGTAAAATGCTACTGCATTAGATATTAAATATGATTGAAATCAAAAAATTTTTAATATTACTGAATAAATGAGAAAATTTGCCTTGGCAAATTTAATGTAATATGGTTTTATATATATTCAGCCCACTGCCCTCAATGAAGTTTGGTTTTTGGCACTTTATAGGAAAAAGTCTGGGCACTCCTGCTATATACTGTGTAAAAATATATCCGTGAAGTATAAGTCCAACACAATCTCACAGTAATTCATAACTTTTTGTATTAGTGGTTAATTTGTATGAATTTGTATGATCTGATTCGCTCATCCCCCAATGACGGTTGGGTTTAGGGTGGGGTGGGGTGCCACACCTCCTTTTTAAAATCGTACAAATTTGTACGAATTAACCACTAAACTGACAAAACATAAAAAAATAGTTACGTTTTCCCATGAGATCAGGCTGGAAAGTCATATGATGAGCCAATGCTCATCCCAAACAATTTTTCCCACAAGCAGAGAAACATAAAAATATGTAGAAGACGCTCAGTGTCATTCACATAACCACTAAACAGCATCATAATAACACACAAAAAAGTGAATGAATGCAGTAAACATTATTTATCAACATTAGATGTAACCTAAAACTCTAATGTGCATATCTCAAGAAGAAAAAGTGTCATGCAGAGAGTCCTTCAAAAGTTAATTTACTGTTATCCACTATATTAAGGAAACTTACCGTTAAACAGATTATGGATTTTTACATGTAGCATTTTACAATGTAGCTTACTGATTGAATCATCTGACAGCATCATTACTTCTGACCTTTATAAAGTTCATCCTCTGCACTGACTCAATGAGTAAAACAGGTGTATAAATGACCAGTCTTTAGTCAACTGTATTGGCCGGAGTTGTGTTGATGACTGATAACCTCTGAGGCATTATTGACTGAGTGTTGAGTAACAGTTTGACTCTTTTTTCCTGGTATTTCCTCATTTGTTTGTATGGCTCTGACGAGTGAAAGTGTAATCGAACTAGTGCAAGTCTGTGCACACAATAAATTGATCGCATTGTTTGTGTGTTCTGAGTGCATCTGACTGTAATTAAAGCCCATCCTCTGCACATAGATGCTAATTACATGAAATGGAGATGGTAACCCTCTATATAATGCTATATTTGGTTCACTCAGGGCAGTGTTTTAGAAAATGAGCTCACACAGACTGTTCCATTTATTTTGAGACCCTTTGTGCTAAAGTCCCTAGGAGTGAAACAATTATGTAACTATCTGTGGTTCCTTTGTTAGATAAACTCTCTTTATCTCTCTCATTCTTGGTCTGACTCTCTCTGCTTATAAAACAAATCATATATTTAGACTAACAGACAAGGGTACAGACGGTCATAAATGCTAAAACAGGAAAAGAACCTAGGGGACAGTTATGTGTTGACTATGGTATGACCCTTTTCCAAGAATGAGAATAGTACATATTTAAAAACTAAGATTAAAGAGAACTAAAGAGTTACACTTCTAATCTGTTCTTCTTTCTTGGATAAAACTTCTTTTCTCTGTGTTTATTAGTGTATTTATATATTTCTCCACTATATAAACTTTGGTTTTCTAATACCAAATAAAAATTAGTATCTTCAATGAATGTTAACAGTTCTCTAGTTTTTTTTAGCAGGGCTATTATAGTCGAGTTTGTTTTTATTTTAATAACATTTTTTACATTTGATGTACATTTTTAGCTTATTTTTGGTTTGTTTCATCAGTGGTTTTGTTAATTTTAGTTTATTTTTTATTTATTGAACACATTTCTATTGAGTATGTGTGTGTGTGTGTATATATATATATATATATATATATATATATATATATATATATATATATATATATATATATATATATATACATATATATATATATATATATATCAAGAGCAAGAAAATTTTCACAGTATGTCTCATACTATTTTTCTTTTGGAGAAAGTCATATTTGATTTATTTTGACTAGAATAAAAGTAGTTATTAATTTTTAAGGACCATCTTAAGGAAAAAATTATTATGGCGGCGGCCATTCAGGAAGCTCAGGCAGTGGCGGCGGCCATTCAGAAAGCTCAGGCGGCAGAGGCTATTAAGGAAGCTCAGGCGGCGACGGCCATTCAGGTAGCTCAGTTGGCGGCAGCACTGGCAGTACTGGCGGCAGTGGCTCTGGCAGCTCTGGCAGTACTGGCGGCAGTTGCTCTGGCAGCTCTGGCAGTACTGGCAGGATCTGGCAGCTCTGGCAGTGACCGAGGATCTGGCAGCTCTGGAGGATCTGGCGGCAGTGGCAGTGACTAAGGATCTGGCAGCTCTGGCAGTGACCGAAGATCTGGCAGCTCTGGCAGTGACCGAGGATCTGGCAGCTCTGGCAGTGACCGAGGATCTGGCAGCTCTGGCAGTGACCGAGGATCTGGCAGCTCTGGAGGATCTGGCGGCAGTGGCAGTGACTAAGGATCTGGCAGCTCTGACAGTGACTGAGTATCTGGCGGCAGTGGCTCAAGCGGCGGCATCGATTCTGGCGGCGGCGGCGGTGTCGACTCTGGCAGCTCTGGCGGCGGCGGCGCCGACTCTGGCGGCGGCGACTCTGACAGCGGCGACTACTCTGGCAGCTCTGGAGGCGGCGACCCTGGCGAAGACCCTGGCAGCTCTGGCAGTGGCATTTCAGGAACAGGAACAGACTCTGGACAATAAGCCATCTTGTTAGCTGGAAGACTGGAGTAGGCCATCTTGTGAGCTGGAGGACTGGATGCGGGCATTTTGTGAGCTGGATGTGTAGTGGTAGAAGGAGCAGCAAGCCCCGTTGCCAGCAAGTCTTGCTGTCCTTTGACAGTCCAGAATCATGATCAGAAAACAGGCGAGAGGTCAGAAGGCAGGCGGCTAAACAGAAGAACTGGATAAACAAGGCTAAGATCAAAACATGGGAAAACAAGACTAGGAGAATGCGATGTAATGTCACTAACAGTAAACAAGACTCTGCAATGTGAATGTGTGTGTGTGCTGCTGTGTGTGTAATCAGTCTTTGACAATCCACAGGTGGTGCGAGTGTA